GATTGCAGTTTTCTGAAGTTTTTTTTTTTTCTCCATAGCATCAATTTAACTCATTTTAAACAATGTTAAATGAACCAGCTTTGAGTTTAGAGGTCGAGCCGGTTAAATCCGATATCACCTCGTCCAATGGAGATTCAGCTCGAACTCGGGCTCAGCCCGATTCAACCGGCTCCAGCTCGGTCCACCCGGTTCGGTCAATCGAGGACGAGAATCTCGATTACGACAGCACGTCGAGCTTCGAGTTCCACAAGGGGGATCACAAACCGCCACATCAGCACATGGCCGCCACACGGGCACTGATGAGGCCCGTCTCGTCTAAATGGAATGATGCAGAGAAATGGATCATGAGCAGGCAAAATGTTGCTCAGCCGAGTACTTTAAAAAGATCGAATTCACAAAATCAGGGGAGTAGGCCTTCGGGCGGGAGCTTGGTACGGGTGGCGCCTGAGCTGGCGGGCCCGGAGGGGCGGGCTTCGGTTAAAAGGGTTGACTTTGTTCAGCCTGCCTCACAAACGGGCCTGTCTAAGTTCGGTTCGGGCCATGCTGTGGATTTGTGTCCCGAGAGTAAGGATTTGATGGAGGTGGATGATGTTGATTCGGGCTTGACGAGCACCAAGAGTGTGACTGATGAAAGTACTGGTGATTATTAATGCCCCTCTTTTACAAGCTTAGACTTTGTTTGTTATGTGCTTTTGTATGATATTTTTCCTTGGTAATCAAATAAGCTTATTTGGTTTGCTTATACGCATCTTGTGTTAAAATAGGCTTCGTTTGGTAGGACGAGTTTTTTTTTAAAAGTTAGAGTTTTTCTCATAAGTTTCTTTGGATAATTTTTCAAAATAAGCTCGTTTAAATTTTTATTACTTTTCAGCTATAATCTCGAAACTCACTCTTAAGCAATAAGCTAGCTTATCAGTTATTTTTACCTTTCAAAGCCTTTAAACATATAAGTTGAATTTTGTGAATTTGTAAGTAGTATCATTAGAGCAAAGTGCATATGAACTTATGAAGTCCTTTCCGAAAAA